AGGAAGAAAGAAAGAAAGAAAAGGAAGGAAGGAAGGAAAGAAGAAAGAAAGAGGAAAGAAAGGAAGGAAGGAAGAAAGAGAGAAGAAAGGAAGGAAGGAAGGAAGGCAAGAAGTCATTATTTTGCTGCTGGTACATTTTAACTTAGGATTCGACCCACTTTTTCATCCTGGAAATGCTGGAAAACAATTACAGTGTGCACTGACCTTGATGAGCAGAGTGTAGGATCCAAAGACCTGGATCCGACAGCGCTGAATTCTGTCACTGTGTCTGCAGTGCGAACAAGGAGGCAGAAAACGAGGGGAGTCAGTGGGTCTCATGGCTCAGGAGGACTTGGCCGTGAGCGAGCTCAGTGGGAAGGACGGGAGGCAGGAGGGGCCCCGGCCACCTCCAGAACCACCTTGCTCACCTCTGCCCTCCCAAACAGCATTTCCTAAACTCCCCCCGAGGTCAGGGTCCGACAGGCACGTGCCTCTCACTGACGCTCCTGTTACCAACTGGGAGTCCACCAAGGGAGCGGGAGGTATGAGGTGCCACGCTCCAGGCTGGGTGGACGGCGTGAAGCGTCCGGGTCCCGGACCACCACGGGCTGTCATGTCCGTGGGTTCGGTGCTCGGAGAGGTTGCCAAAGCCGAGCAGCACATACAGTCGCCCCGGCCCGTCACGGTGCGGCAAAAGGGGAGCGCAAGTCCAAATGCTGGGCCTGCAGGGACAACCAGGCTCACGCGGCCGCCCACTCATTCATCGTCCGCTTCCTGGAGCTACTCCTCGTTAGACCCATTGTACAGTTGAGCACCTGGAAGCCCAGGGCTCCAGCAACCCGGTGAGGATCACACGGCTGACTCCAGAAACGAAGCCAAGCAGATAGATGTGATTCTGAAGGGGGTCGTTCCTGCACCGTGAGATGTTGCCTTCTTATGCCAACACCCTGCCCCTCTGGGTTTCTAGTTTGGAAGCCCGTGGGGCACGGAGTCCAGAGGCCACGATATGCTGGCAGGGAAGCTGCAGTCTCGTGGCTGCTCGCCCGCCTCCCACCTGTGCAGTCGGGCAGTGCTATGAACCTGGAACTGAGCACTCTCTGAGCCTCAGTTTCTCCCTCTGCAGGATGGGGGTGATGACGCGCCCCCCCCCCCCGCACTGGCCGGGTTATGAGGGGTGCAGATAGCCGTGCTGTGCGGGTATGTTTACCTGTATCCCCCTAACTGTGAGGTCAGGAACAGAGTCACTGATGAGGTGCCCGTGATTCCCGGAGACCCCTGACCCGAGCACGAAGGCCCAGCACAGCACAGAGTCTCGGTACAGGGGAGGCCATAACAAAGCACCACAAACCAGGGCTACACATCAGAAGTTTAGCATCTCCCGGTTCTGGAGGCCGGAAGCCAGAGACCAGGGCGTCGGCAGCACCGCCCTCCCTGCAGGATTCGGGGTAGAATCAGCCCTTGCGTCCTCCGGCTTCAGACAGCAGCCGCCAGCCCTGGCATCCCTGGCTTCTGGATGCATTGCTCCCACCTCTGCCCCTCTTCCCACAAGCTGTCTTCCTTGTGTCTTTTCTTATAAGGACTCGGGTCCTACTGGACTAGGGCCCACCTGATGCCCTCGCCTTATCTTGATCGCCTCTGCTAAGACCCTATTTCCAAATAAGGTCACATTCACAGGCACCAGAGGCTGAGACTTCAATGTCTTAGGTGGGGGCTTCTGTGAGATCTTCCTGGAGATCCTCAGGCTATCCTGGGGGCCTCCGCCCCGTCAAGTGAGGTCTCCAAGGACCACCGCTCAGCGGGCACGAGAGGCCTGGGTCCTGCTGAGTGTCTGGACAGAAGGCAGGCGCTGGGGTGGGGGAGGCCCTCCGCTGTGGCATTTTCCTCACCGGGGGGCTTCATTTGGACTAGAAGCACTGCTCATGGTCCTTGGGGTCCTGCTACATCAGACCCGGCTGAGGGGGTGCCTCTCCACGCATCCTCCAGGAGCGACTAGGAGGCAGGACCTGATGCAGGTCATCCGTGGGCAGGGGACGGGGCACAGGATGGGGACAGGGAGGCCCGGAGGGAGGAAGCCAGTGAGGAGTTGTTGTCCAGCAAAGCACATGCAGACGGTGGAGCTGGTCCTGCTGGGGGCTCTGGGGGGCTCAGAGACGCCGCAGCGGAGGGGTCCATGTGCCGGTCTGCCCTCCAGCACCCAGCTCCCGTTGAGGCAGGCTGTTCTCAAGGGCACAGTCCCCAGCACAGCCACACAGCCAGGACACTGGAGAGAGGGGGCCGACAAGGCTGCAGGTGAGTGCCCGGAAGGCACCAAGCCCCAGGGGCCCCAATTCAGCTGCAGGCCGGTGTGCCCCCACCTTGTGGTGGGCTTCGCAGTGCTCCTTACAGGGCCCCGAAGCGAGCCACCCTGTCCCCCCAGGCGGCCTGCTGCCCGGCGCCCAGCGAGGTCGGCCTGAGTGGGCCTGCGCTGTCTCCACGCCCCCGTTGCCGGACCCTGCAGCCCTCCACTCCCTTCTATGGGCATTGATCGCGGGAGCACCCCAGGAACCTCCTCCCCAGAGCAGGTTCCCCGGGGATGAGACCTGGAGACACAGCAGCGTGCTGTCCTGCATGTCAGGTGTCCCCAAGCATTACTCCTCGTGATCTCTGATAAGGCCAGAGCGAGCCACGCCAGCCCCCAGCCCTCTCTGAGACAGAAGTTTACAAAAGCTTTCTTTAATCAAACATCTCGTGGGACCCACATGGACTAAACTCTCTCAACGTTTGCCAGCGTTCTGCTTGCCAGTCCTGAAAGGCTCTAGCAGAAAACATCCCATTTTCTTGTAAAAGAGAGAGATTTCCCTCTCTACGAGCTGCTAATAAGTACATGCAGCCGTGGCTGTCAGCCAGTTAAGCTCAGGAAAACAAACGAGGGAGAGCGAGCGTGCTCAGAACCACCCCCCCACCCCCCCACCCCCGCCCCGAGCAAGCTGGGGCCTTTGAAACTGCGCGGCTTCCAGGCTTGGGCTCGTCCTGCCCGTGCTGGCTGTTACAAGCCAGGGCTCACATTCTCAAGGACCGAGACCGGAGTGTCTAAGGGCCAGTCAGCTGCATGCCAGATGCGTCCCCAGACTCCAGGCTGCCTCCGGGGCGCGGGTGGGTGGGGGGCGGTGTGCCGTGGAGACATCCTAAGGGCTGAGGATGCCCCGGGACCACTGCTGCTCAGCCTGGCAGCCTGTCGCGTGCACTGCAAGATTCCACACACGAACTTAGGAGGGCAGCGACCAGGGGGGCTGGGCAGGGCAGGACACGGGGCCACCAGTTGTACCTGTTGAGGTATGTGGTGACAGAAGGAGAGGGGCCCGGGGCAGCTCAGAGAAAGCAACTCTCGTTCCCCTACTTCAAGTGCATCCATGGGTTAGGAAACAGAACTTCCCTGTGCGCTGGTTTTGACATCCCGGAAAGATCAGGAGCGTGCAGAAGGGGTCTAGCCGTGCCAGGGAGACCCTCCCCACTGCACTGTAATTTTGCGATTCGTATTCATCCAGTTGGGATGAATGTTCCCCAAGCTACAGATATTGAGGGGGGGAAGGCAGCTACAAGGGACCATTCCCACGGCCCATCACGCCCATGACAAGGGCGCTGATATTCCCCACATCACCTGGCATCACCCTGGCATCACCCTGATGACCCAGCAGCACCGTCGGCATCCAGAAGAAGCCACTCCTCCTCCCCCCGACCCAGCGCCCGGGGCTCATTTTCCAGGTCCAGGAGACTCGCCCAGGAAACGCTGAGAGCTCCTGAACAGGATGCTTACTGGGAGGCCTAAGAACATGGTGGGGGGCACATGCACCTCCTCCCTACAGATGCAGGGCCTGGACGGTTGGCCCTTGCCGGTGAAGTCGGGAGAGCAGCAGGGTCCTAGTGGACCACGGCAACACCGTCTCAGAGATCGCATGCACTGGGCAGGGCTCCCCCCCACCAGACACTCTCAAAGCAGCATTTTCAATACAGCTGGTGTTTGCCAGGACTTAGCATCTCTGTAGACTGGACTCAGGAGCCAGCAAGTCAGAGCTCCTCCAAAGGGCCACGCACAGCCTGGCTGCCCAGGACTGCTGTGTGCATGCAACGAGTACACAAAAGCAATACAAATGTGCATGCCTCGAAACTACCCCGTGCTCGAAAGAAAGTCACCAAGAGACCGTTTCGCGCCGTCCCCGCGCCAACTGTTCCGACCGCTGCCCAGCCACACCACGGTGTCCGTCCGTCCGCCTGGAATGCTCTCCGTGGCATCAAACTCCACCTGCCTATGGCTTGTTAGGGTGTGTATTTGTTCTGCACCAAGTAATTCTCCAATTTTCAGCAGGCGCTGACCAGCGTCCTACACATTAACTCACTTCTGATACTGTCCACCTGGAGGCTGAGACAGATCCCATGGGTTAGAGGCTCTGTCCCACAAGCCTGCCCCCACCGCCCTTCACACTCCAGCCGCAAGTGGCCCACGGGCAACCGATCCCGGGTTGCGTTCATTTGCTCCAGAGGCTCACAGAACTCAGGGAGCCCGTTTACTCCCTGGATTACCAGTGTATTATAGAGGACGTTCGAAAATACGAATCAACAGCCAGATGAAGAGATACAGAGGACAAGGTCCCCTTGGCATGGTGGCGTGTGGAAGCATTCTGGTTCACCAACCCGGAGCCCTCTGAACCCCATCTTTTTGGGGTTTTATGGAGGCTTCATTACATGGGCATGTTGATAAATCACTGGCCATTGGCGACTGATCCAAAGCCAGTCCCTTGTCCCTCCCCAGAGGCTGTGGGCGGGACTGAAAGTTCTTCCTAGTCACGTGGTGGTCCCGGCGGCCCCACGCGGATGCAATCACAGGAGGAACCAACAGAAGAACAGCACGCGTGCGGGAGGGCGTTTTTTCCTTCGCCCAAGTGGAAAGAATTCCTGTCCTCCACGTGCTGGCTTTGAAGAGTTCTGCGACTAGAACAAAGAAAGGAGGGATTCAAAGACGAAATTCAATTTTTTTTTTAATTTTATTATGTTATGTTAGTCACCATATAATACATCATTGGTTCAAAATTCAATATTTAGCAGCCCATAATGGGCATACTCCTCCTGCCAGACGGACGGTGTGATTGTCTTCAGGAATTCAGACTTTAAAGGATGTCTTTCTGGAAGGGAACTTCTGTACTTCCTAGACGGTTGGTGGCTTCTGCAGAACTGGGAGCAGGAGGGAAGCCACACCCAGACCAGCAAGGCAGAGGCTGCGCAGGGGCGTGGTCTGGGGACACAGGAACAGTCAACAGGAAGGAAGCCAGTGGGCCCCGCACCCGGCCTGATGCCCTGATTCTGGAAGCACATTCTGTTGGGGCACCCGAGGTGGTGCTGGGTTTCCCTCTCCCCTACTCCTAATGCTCAGCAGAGGGAAACGTGCTCGGGAATACTTCCATCGGGTCCAGAGATCCTCAGGGATGCCTCTCTTACTCCTGGCACATTCCGAGTTTTCCAGAAAGAAACGGCCTGAAAGGGACATGCTATGCCTGGGAACATTCTGCTTCACGGGACAGCTGCTGAGACCCTTCCGGGTGTCCTCATGCTGGCCCGAGTCCCTAGACGTGTCCGTGCAGGGGTCCAGCACCTGACTCCGGCCAGCCCCACCCTGGGCTCCTGGGGACCCCAGGACAGCCTAGCTGGGGAGGCAGGGGGCAGCAGAAGAGGGGCAGAAAGGACATTCATCCGGACAGAGTTCACTCAGGCCAAATCTGTGTGAGAGAGACCACAGGCTGAGCTGTGTTGTTCCTAGAATAACCTGACACAGATCTCATTGTAGGAATGAGACAGCAAGGTTAGTGAATTCACCTGCTGGTGAGCAGGCCCACCAAGAACCTGACTTTTCCCTAATACCGAAGTCCTGATGCCCAGCCCCGCAATCCCAGCCCCCCCAAACCCCACACCCCAGCCCCACAGCCCCAGGACCCCCCACCCCCTCAGGTCCTATAGCCGCCCAGGACCTACAACCTCCAGGGCCCATACCTCTCAGGACCCCATATCCTTAGGACCCCACACACTCAGGGCCCCATATCCCCAGGACCCCACACTGCCCAGGACCCACGCCCCCTCCCAGACCCTACACCCCCAGGACCCACAACGCTGGTCCTCACACCCCTGGGCCCCACACCCCTCAGAACCCCATACCCCCCCAGGCCCTAAACCCCCAGAACCTACAAGCCAAGGGCCCTCCCCACCACCCCCCGCCCCCGGCCCCCGGGCCCAATCCTAATGGTGGCTCAGGAAGCACTCCAGGCCAGAGCAGTTAGAGAAGTGGTGACTCTGAGGCTGCAGGTGTGGGAAGCTGGGGCAGGACAGGTGCCTGGGAGACAGGCCTCCACCCGGCAGCCTGGGGGAAGTGGGCGGGGCCGAGGGTGGAGCCTGTGGAGGATGAGGCGAGCTGGGCCCTGGAGCAGGGCGGGCCCTGGAGCAAGGCTGGCTCTGCTGGGCATGAGGGCACAGCCTGGGGGTCAGAGGCCTGCGGTGCACCTGCAGCTCTCCCGGGCCCCCACCCACCTCCATGACCCACTGGTATAGAATGTTCACAACCAGCTGCATGACGCTTGGTGGGCTACCAGGGGCTGACCAATTCCGTCCTCTGCCCCACGGCCACTCCTCCCTTCTTTGCTTTGCCCCCGTACACACACATGGGGAAAGCAAGTTCTTCAGTGGACCCATTAAAGTAAATTCCTCTGGGAGATGCCCCATTAGCACCAGGCTGCTTCCATCCCACCCCAACCCCCCACAACAGGCCTGTCGGTCCTCCTGCCCCAGGGCCTTTGCACATGCTGTTCCTCTGTCTGGGATAAGTCTGTACACACACATCACCTAGATCCCTGCCGCTGGTCCTTCAGCCCTCTGCACACCGTCCCCTCCTCAGCATGCATGTCCCTGCGCTATGAGCACTCCTCACACCTTGTAATCGGTGCTTCCTTCCGTGACCACCTGACTGTGTGATTCAGTTAGACCAAGGGCAGGGTCCACCCCCGCGTCCCAGGGATGCCTTAACGGACGCTGTGCTGTCGCCCGGCCGCTCCCCACCACCCCCACTTCTCTGTGTACAGGACCCCACGTCCGAGAAGGCCAGGCTCGACAGTGTCCAGCCACCCGTGGCACTTAATGTCCACTCCACGGAACTTGACCTTGTCACAGTTCTCGCTGGGGCCCCTGCTGCTCCTTGGACCCCGAGCCGGAGCTGTGTCACGAGGACCCCTTCTCCCACTTCTCCGAGACGTTCTGTGGGTCCCGCAGGTCACGGCCCATCCCCACAGGCATTTCCACACACGCCTGAGCACAGAGTGTCCCCTGACTTCTGGAAGAAACGTGAGCTAACTAAAACATTGCCTCTGGGAGGAGCAGCCCCAGTGAGCCCTCGCCCATGTAGTACTTTGTACTAGGTGAATTGGGGCCACTGTGCAGAGGGCTGAGCCCCCAGCCCCGTCAGCTGGGCTGCAGGAACTGCCCAGCCAGACCGGAGCCATGGTGAAATGCAGCAAGTGGGGGAAGCGGGGGCAGGGAATGTTGTGACTTTGGGGGGTGGAGCCTCTGGGGTCCCCGACTCCTGTCTCGGGTCCCCCTTGACTCAGCGTTGCACCAGGAGCCACGTGCCTTGCTCCGAGGCCAGTGGCAGACCAGGGTTTTCGGCCAACACTTGCTGAATGCTGGCTGGGGGGACATGGCACCTGCCAGGGACGGTGGGGGGCTGGGATGGTCCTGCCCTTCGAGGAGTCACGGAGACGCTACAGGCGGAGAGCGCCCACGGGAAGACAGAAGTGCTAGGGAGGGTCCAGTCTGGAGGCCACGTGGGGGGGGGGGCCTTCCAGTCTGGCGCAGTGTCTCCATCATTACCAGACAGAGCGGCACAAGGCCAAGCCCAGACGTGGCTGGGAAAACTGCCCCAGGAGCAGGGTCCTGCCTCCACCAACAAGGGAGGCACCTCCACCAACCACGTGGGCCCGGAGGAGGGCAGGGCTCTGTGTGGCCGTCAGCAAAGCGGGGCTGCTCGCAGGGAGACCACAGCCCCAGCTCAGCAGTACAAAGTGCAGGACAGCAATGTGGCAGAGCTTCAGAGCAAGCGTGGCTCCTGTGTGATTGCCGATGACCGAGCCACTGGGCCAGACACCGCCCCCCACCCCTCCACCCCCCCACCCCCATACGGCAGCAGGCCCAGGGTGCTTGTCATGCAACCAGCCCAAAAGGAGTTCCCACCTGGGGGCACCCCGCTGCCTCAGTCGTATTGCCTGGCCAGTTTGGGGCCCCCCTTGACTGGCTTGTGGACAAGGAAGGTCCATAGGAATGCCAAAGTGTGCTTTGGAGGAAAGGGACATGCATCTGGAAAAGAAGGATAAGCCCCACAGGGACCATCCCAGCCTTGCTCTCTGCTCCGTGTGGACCGCGGAGCCGTGGCACCAGCTAGAGAGGTAGGCTCAGGGCCCAGGCCAGCCCCATCCGAGCCTGTGTCCCGGTGAGATCCTCAGTGGCTCCCGGCCCTGCTGCATGGGGGCAGCCCGCCCTCAGGGGCTTTGCAGAACACCCCTGCCGAGGCTGGCCCGTCCCCACTGCTGCCCGGAAGGGGGGCCTGTCTACCCCTCCCCCTGGGCCCTTGACCCTCCTGCAGTCCCTTCCCAGGGCCTCCCTCATGCTGGACCAAGCTCAGATGCTGGCCGCAAAGGAGGGCCGCCGTGCACATTTCCCAGGTGCGAGCCAGCAGGAAGCCTTGCGCTGCCTGTCGGTGGGTAGAACCCCAGCGATAAGAGGGGATTGGACGGAAAAGCTAACATTTTGCTTTAAGCTCAAAAAACAATCTTTATCAACAACCCTATAAAAGGTCAATTTATTATCCCGCTGTTATGCACCCTGTTTCAACAACAGTAGGAAGCACACAGTGAAGGCAGGAACCCACATAGAATCCACGGTGCTCGGGGCTCCCCAGTCAACCCCGGGCACCGAGCGTGGAGGTCCCGGCCTCGCTGGCCCTCTCATCCCAGCTTCCATGCCCTGGGAAACCCGCAGCCGCCATGTGAGCAGCCCTGGCCTCTGTCATGGCTCCTGGGCCTTCCTGGCGGTGGTGACCAAGGTGATGATGATGAAGTAAGCATGTCCACGTCCATTCTAACAGGGGCATGGCCGCGCACCCGATGCCTGGCGGGGTGGCCACCTGATGGCTGTTCCTGCAGTAGCCACATCCCTCCGCTCTCCCTGGCTGCCCCTGAGGCCATGCCCTCTGCCCTGGACCACAGCTACTGCTCCCCGAGGGCAGGAGCCCGGCTGACGACCTCGGAGCCCCATGCCGCCCAGGCCGGTCCCTAGCCCCCTAGCCGAGGGAAGCTCCCGGCTCGTATGCGTGGTGACTGCACCTCTGCACCTGGCAGACGGAGCCCCAGGAAAGAAGTCTGAGTCATCCTGGGGAGAAAGCAAATGCCGAGGGGAGCTGCAGCGAGGCCAGCGGGGCTCTGCCGTTCCTTCCAGAACGTTCCACGGGAGGCTAAGGGGAAAGTGAGCTCACCCTGCCGAGGCTTCAACCTGGCAAGTGGAAATGCACACAGCTGGCTGGCAGATGCACCCAGACCCGGCAGAAGCTCCAGGAAACAGGCTGAGGTCCACTGGTGCCCCTGTCCACGCCACCCCCTCTTCCGAAGCCCTCCTCAGGCTCCGCCTGAGCTCTGTACCGGCCACCCTGGGGGAGGGGGCCCCCGGGAGGAGCAGCCAAGCTGCACTGGCGCCTGGTCTTGGAGGGTGGCAGGGCGCTGGGACAAGGGTGAGCTGCCCTTGGAACTGCACGGGTTGCAGGCCGCGGCACACTTTGTTCAGACGTAATAACAGCTATTAGGCTGCATAATTGACCCAAAGAGGGAAGTCACGGCAGCGAGAAACAAAGGGCGCTCAGTGCTGCCTGGCCGCCGACCAGCTGGCCCGTGGGGCGCCCAGCGCCTCTTACGTGGGCAGCAACGTCCCCGGCCCCCGGGGAGGGGCGCCTCCTGGCCCCGCCTGGCCCACGGCCTGTGCGTGGATCGCGTGCTCGCACCCCCAGACTGAGCACGCTGGCCGGGAGGCGACACTAGAACACCAGCATCACCCCCACTCCAGGGGCAAGTCCCTGTGGAGGGGCACAGCCTGCGCCTTCTCAACTCGGCCCACCGCTGGAGCCTCTGGCCCCGCGCCCGGTGCGCTGAGCCCGCCGCAAAGATCGGAAAGGCAGGCAGGTGTACAGCGTCAGGGCCGAGAACGAGGGCGGGGAAGACCGCACACCGTGTCTAGCGGAGCCGGGACAGCAAAGGTGAACTCGACACGAAGATAAAAATAAAGCAGTACGGGAGGTCCCTGCCAGCAGAGGGCTGTGCCCACGGTGCCCCATGACCACCCAGCCTGGGGCAGTGCGAGGCTGCCAGCAGGCGGCCCCAAGTCACCGAGGGGGCTGGCTCCTCGCTTCCCAAAGATATCTGAGCAGTCCGGCTGCAGTGAACGGCTCACAAGGTTCACCAGGCCTTGCAAACAATTCCTGGACCAGCTTTGAAGGGCAGGAAGTGGGCCGCAGGAATCTCCCCAGGGATGCTGGAGTCATCCGTCGGCAGGACACTCAGGGCGCCTCCGTGGCCTTGCCTTCCCCGGACAGCCAAGGGGTGTACCGAGCTCTGGGGTCGCGGTGGGGAGCACCCCATCGGGGCACCAACTGGAGCTCGAAGGAGAAGTGCTTTGCTCACTGAGGAGCGAGGGGTGTGAGGCCCGGGTCCCCCCACCCAGACACTAGGAGCGCCCAGGGTAGGGTGAGGCTGCCGGCCCCAGCCGTCCGCCTGCAGAGCCACATCTCCTTCTGGGGGGCGGGGGGGGCCTTCCATCAGAAGGCACAGGAGAGGCTTTTTCACATTTCAACAACAGCAAATGCAATTTCAGCTACCCTCTGCCTTGTGACACGGGAGCTTCGGGGGTCGTGTGAAGAAGTGCACATGGCCCTGCATGATAAGACAGACAGTGCACAGAGCAGCCTCCCAGAGCCCCAACCGCCCCGCCCCAAAAAGCAGGCCCTGGGTGGTCAGGACGCACAGACGGGAAAGGCAGACCAAGGTGGGTGACTCGAGGCTGTCAGCCTGATGGCCGCACAGCAGGACTCCCAGAGGGTAGGGGTGCTTTGTGGGGAGTGCAGGCGCCAGTTTCATGCACACTAGAACATCAGCATCACCCCCATTCCAGGCAGGGGAGACGGAGACAGCTGTTCCTGGGCGGCCACTGCGGTGCCCCCCAGACCTCTGCCCGGCCAGTCTCCGCAGCATCCCCGCGAGAAGTGCGAGTGGGCTTCTCCAATGGCAGGGCGAGGCTGGGGCCAGGATCCCCTTAGTGGGTGGGCCCTAGGCAGGGGCAGGGAGTGGAGGGATCTGCCTGCTTTCCAGCAGGTGCTCCCTGGAGCCCCAGGTCCTCTCTCCGCGAGGGCACACCGCCAGCCAGAGAGGTCTTTCCTCCCCTGCCCAGTGGCCCTGGAGAGCTGTCCCTGATCTCTGCAGACCTGCTAAGGGCAGCTCAGTCTTGCTGAGGCAGCCAGGCTCTGGAATCTGCTCTTCGTGCCAGATGCTGGTCCGGGGCAAACAAGACAGGCTCCCCGAGAGCCCTGAGAGCTCAAATTCTCCTTCACTAATTGCAAACCTGTGCAAGACTGAGCACGAGGATGAAAGCCACCAACTTGCAGCTCAGAACAGAACGTACTGTTCACTGGCTATCCATCCATCATCTTACCTGGTATTCCAGAGGCACAATGTTCCCATAACATAATCGTTTAGTGGAAACCAAGCATTCTGACCATTACTTTTTCTGTACTAGCTTGTTTATTTGGAGTAATTTGCAGCCCTGAAAAAAAATAATAAAGCAAGTGCTAAGGAACAGAGACTGCCTGTAGGAGGAAGAGCTTTGTTTAACAGTTTCCCTGTGGGAAAAGGCAGGCCTTTAGGATCCTTCAGCTTTGACACAGGATGGTCTCCTTGCCTTTTTATGGGACGGAGATCAGCCTCCACGGGAAGGAGCAGAAGCAGAAGCAAGGGAAAGGACTGCAAGCACATGGACTATGTGCAGGGTGTGGCTCGTGGCTCGGTGGTGGCAGCTCGGGAGCATAGCTGGGGGACAGCCAGGCTCTCTCTGGAGAGAATGGAATGCCCAGTCAGTTTATTTCCCAGTGCTCACTGTTCTACTAGTGAGCTGGTGGGCATGTTGGCAAAGCTCACACAGGATGCACCGCCAGGCCACGGAGCACGGGATTGCAGTCCCCCTCTCGGGAGCCTTTCCGCTCTCCAAAAGGATAACGCAGCTCCCTTTCTTTCCACTCATCCTGGACCATCTGAGGTCGATAAAGCAAACCCTGCTGACCTCGCCAACAGTCGGGCAGTCCAGCAAGACTGAGAGACTGAGCCTCACGACAGATGGCTGTGGAAACACACGTGTGCGCATGGTGTGTTTGTATACTTGTGTGCGTGTGTGTTGTGTGTATGCAGGTATGTGCATGGGTGTGTGGGTGTGTGTCAGAGAAAGCTGCTAATAGAACAAGTTATTATGGGATCACAGAAACCTGGACTCCTATTACCAGGACACTATAAGAGCCTGTTGACTTCAAAGCTTTGTTGAAGAGCAAAAAGGCCTCTGACTCCTACAGGCACTGAGTAACTGAGGCAGGGACCACCAACAACCCACCCCAACGTCAGATCCACAGTTGCTAGGGCACTGGGCCCCTCTGAGCCCACAGGTACTGTGTGGGGTCAAGTTCTTTCAAATATGGACATTAACCCTCAGAGAGGTGCAGAGGGTTCCTGAGGTCACAGCCGGGAAGTGGCCAAGGGTCAGAAATCCAAATGCAGTCCCACCCCACATCCCACCCAGAGCTCTGGCCCCATGCCTAATAGGGGCCGGGGGCCGAGAACGCCTAGTCATGGGGCGAGCACCGCACCCCTTTCTCCAGGGCCACCTCCACAGGGTCCAATCTGCAGGGAGCGGGGGGTCAGACCCCTCCAGCAATCAGCAGGAACTGGAACAGGGTGGACTGCTGGGTCTCAGGTGCAAACGGAAACTCCCATTCCGGAGGAGCCCGCAGTCCCGTGGGATGCCCTCGGGGCCCAGATGTGCTCCATGGGCCTACAGCTGCCAAGCTACCAGAGCTTGTTGGAGATGAAACGTCCCCAGTGCCCTAGACCTCCGAATCCACATGAGCCCCAGGAGATGGGCAGACACTTAGAGGCTCAGAACCCTGCTCTTCCCTGCTCCAGGAAGACCCACCAGCCGGAACATGGAGGAAATGGGCAAGAACAGCCCTGGGGTGCCCTGGCTTTCCTCTGGGCCACAATCCTCCCTGCAGCCCCCAGGCTTACTCCCCCCACCCTCCGGTCCAAGCTGCGGTGGCCAAGGTCTGGACGGAGCCGTGCACGTGGCCTGAGCCGTGGGGCTGCAGGGCCAAGCGAGGAGGTGGCACCCCAGACCACACGGGGGAGGGGCTCCCGGCAGGGGTGCAGGGCAGGGATGGGGTCGCTGCCAGGGACAGGGCCCCACAGCAAGAGGGAGAGGGAGGAAAGCTCTCTCCCCAAACACTTCCGTTGGCCAAATCCAAGGAGAAGCCCATGCCGTGCTCTCCCGGGCTGGACGAGCCGCTGCGGACACAGACCCGGAGGAGCCGGGAATGGGGAGCACAGCCGGACCTCAGGCCAGAGTCCAGATTTTAAAACTTAGCACACTAATGGATACTTTTCTACTCAGACCTGAATCTTCCTATGAATTGGAAATCCAATTCCTACGAATTGGAATTCCCTCCACCAGGAAGGAAGGGAAGATGGGTGAGTTAACAGAACAGGCCTGGATGAGATTTGAAGTCCCTTCCTCATGGGCACCAGCGACCCCCCTCCCCGCGCGAGTGGACCCCCTGGGGCTGTGGGTCGCTTGGACCCGGGGTGGCTCCTCTGTCTAACGTCACCACCACCCCAGCCACGAGCCTGCTCGCCATGTGTCTAACACATGCTCAGACTGTGCAGATGTTCCAGATAAAGGATTTGTCTTTCGGAAACTTAAAACCGTGCGCTCCGAGGAGGGATACCTGACGGGAGCTGGGCCAGGCACGGGGGCACAGGAAAGGCCTGCCCTGAAACCTCTGCTTCCCGGGAACGGGGTCCGCTGGGGAAGGCTGGAGCCAGCAGGCCGTGTGGGCCTGGTGCACGGCCTGGTCCCCCCTGGGTGCCGGGGAAAGGCTTATGGGGACCACGATCGCCCTCATGCCCAGCTGCTGAGTGAACCCCGCTCTAAGCCGGCTGCTGTGTCCTCTGTGGTTACTAATGTCCAGGGACGTCCCAGAGGGGAGACCAGCCCTGGACCAACTGCAGCATTGCAGACGATCACATTTTGTACTTCCCAGTGGTCTTTCTCTCAAAGTGGGTTCTATAACCTAAATTTTACAGCTCCAGGGGGCTTGCCGCCTCAAACCTGACACAGAGACATGAGTCACAGGTACGCCCCAAACCCTGCCCCCCAGGGCCACCCTCCCAGGATCCGAGGCCCCGTGTCTGATGCGGGCCGGGGGCTCCGATTAGCTAACAGAAAGCACCGAGCCTGCACTGGGCGGGGCCCGTGGGGAGGCAGAGCCCTGGGCTCCAGGCATCCTGGCCCAGCCCAGGCAGTGCCAGAGAGCGCGAGAGAACTGTGAGCCCGGGCCAGCCCCTTGGGAGACACAGGAAACACCCAACCGGCTCTGGGGCCATTTGTTCTGCAGGGAAACTCAGAAAGTGCCAAACTCGGGGTTCACAGTGCTTCCTCCCCCGTCCTCCATCCTTCATGAAGTTGGTGCTTCTCTCCATGTGTTTCTTCCTACGGCTGGAAAGAAATTGGTGTTGTGTCCTGTAAAATATAAGGTCTTCACATTGTCCAGCATCTAGATTCCGTTCCCGGACGGGCTCTTGGCAAACATGCTTGATGCTGAGGGCGATGGTGCCGATGAGGAGGACGGAGGGCCAGAACCTACCACAGTCGTGTGAATTCAGAGAGCAGTCCTTACCAATGACGTCCTGAGCCCCGCGTGGGAGTCAAGGTGTTCCAGGTGAAACTCTCCCTCTCCGTGCGGAAGGAGGAACACTGAGGCTGTAACAGACGTCCACAGTATGCAAAAGAGGCTTGAGTGGGAGAGGAGGAGGCCTGTAAAGGAGGGGGTCCCCCCGCAGTGCTTGGAGCTGGGCAGGGCCCTTGGGCCAGCAAGAATACTCGCTCTCGGTTGTCCACAGAGCAAGGGGCACCATGATGCTACCAGGGTCACACGCAGGTAACTGGCAGCCTGGTGCGGAAGCTGGGATAGAGGGAAGATCTCTCCATTCAGCACTAGATCTGCCCCTTGAATCTCTCCTGTTACAAGAACTTACGAGTGCAGCTCCCTGAACGGGAAAACTCCGTGGTCCCCTCTGAGGAACGCGCTTCAGAGCAAACCCAGAACACGCCCCAGGACAGCGACAATCCTCAGGGCTGTGCCATGCCCTCCACCTGCTTTTAAAGCCCAGGAGGCAGGTCGCTCCTATCTGCCGTGTGTCCCCCACTGCCGCAATGAAGCCCCTCGTCCCCCATGGTTCCATGCGGTCTTTTGAGCCTGCAGTGTCCTGTCCATGATGACAGTCCCGTAGAGGATGAGGCTGGGGACGTGCACCCCCAGCTCCTAGAGGAGCGTCTGGTACCCTGCCTCACTCCACTGAGCTGCGTGGGGGTCAGCAGGGGTCCTAGCCCGGGCCCGAGCCCAGCTGCTGGCAGAACGCATGGCTTTGAGGTGGGATGCCCCTACGACCTGGAACGGCCCACTGAGAGGGGGCTGCTTCTCCATCAACATAATCAAGACTCAGGGCAAGGGGCTTCACCAAGGGCATGGGATGCACGGGCACGGGATGGCCAAGGCTCCGGCCTGCAACAGAGACGTGGGCTTCACCCTCCGTCCCACGGGTCTCTCTGGCTCCTCAGCCCCACCTGGGTGGGTAGTGGTTCCCCCCAGTCTCTCGGTGCCTCTGTTGAGGCTGGCCTGGGGGCCACATGAGCAGAGAGCAGCCACCGGCTCTCACCCTGGCCCACGTGGGGCCTGAGCCTCGGCTCTCAGGCTGCCCGGCGGGACCCCAAAGCTGAGCATCTGATGACAGAGGGCCAGCCACCCCATTCCCTGGGCTTTACCTTGTCATTGTCTGGGCCCCACAGAGCCGGCACGTGAGCGATTTGCAGAAATCCCAGGGCAGCAAATGGGTGCGCAATGATTTCCGACGGGTCTTCCGGCAGCCGTGCTTGACCCACCATCAGCAGCCTCTTTCCTGGAACCTGCGTATCCCATCCATCCTGCCTGGTGGAAGGAATTCCAGGCACCAATTAGCTGCTATGTAGCAAACACCCTGGGGAGCTCAGGTCTTGTTGAGAATGAGGATACTTTGTCTTCTCTTGCAATGTTGCTTTTCACTTTGTATTGATGTTGCCACTTAGAATTCTATTGGACTGAGCCACCTCCACACAAAAAAAACAACAAATTTAAATCGTGCTCCTGGATCATCCCCACTCCAGGAGGATAAGACGAAGGTGAATGTGGCCAGAGCCCCTGTCACAAAGGCAGGGAGACCATGTCGGAGAGCCAAATGGATTCCAGCCTTCTCGGCGTGCGTGGCCACGGGGCTTACGACTTCAAGCCGAGGCGGGCCTGGAACCCTGAAACAATGAATCATGAAAACCAGCTGGGAATCCCACCTCCCCTTGAGGTGAGGAAGTAAAACCACATATTGCCTGGTAGGAGATGAAGAAATGGCCAGTGGCTGTAGGATCAGAGCCTGCCTTGCGGGGACAAAAAAGCTTCTACATCACCTTGACGATGTTCCCTTAACTGACTGCTCTCCAGGTCTTGGCTTTCAGACCACAACAGGCTTTCCTGTCCGTCACTGACCTGCTGTCCCCACAACCAGAGGCTGGACAGACAGACCAGTGTGTCTACTCTGAGCGACAGGAAGCCACAAGCAGCAGCAAGAAAAAGTTTGGCTTTAACCAAAAGACTAAATTTCCAGTCAGGCCAGTTCCAGAGGTCATGGGCAGGTAGACCCCCAAGCTGCTTGGACCACGTGCTTCCAGATGCTTCCTTCCCTCTGGAGAATTCTGAGGTGCCAGCATTGGGCACATCAGCTGGCTATGGGATGGACCGGCTGCCGTGGGGATGGCGTGGCCAGCCTTGAATATGCGGGTCTGCTGGGCATGGGACACAGCTCGGGGCCTCCAAAAGCTCACCTGCAATAACACTTCGCTTCCCTAAGGCCACTTTCTCATCTGCAAAATGAGGAATCAATATCAACTAGACTTCCTTCCCGCACGGAGAACGTGTGATTCTGTGCCACTTGAAGATTTTCTGTAAGGGGAGGGGGTGGGGGTAAAAACCAATGATTCGGTCAATGGCCCTAGAGTTGCTGACTCCCCGGGGAAGGTGAGGGCTAGCAGGTTGGCAGGAGCCGGCTCCCGGTCAGAACTGGAGACTGGACAGAGCCAGCTCTCAGCTCAAGGTCTCACTGGGCCGGGAGTCCCAGGTAGAGGCTCTCGGGAAGAATCCACTTCCCAGCTCATCCAGGTTGTTGGCAGAATTTGGTTTCTTGTGCCTGTGGGATGGGGGTCCCCGTTCCCCAGCTGGCTGTTGGCCGGGAGCCCCTCTCAGCTTTGGGCCCGCCCCATTCCTTGCTACCTGGCCGCCCCATCTTCAAAGCCAGCACTGACATGTCAAACCCTCTACACATCGACTCCCTCTCACTTCCTGCAGTATACAGTTGACCCTGAACAAAGCAGGTTTTAGGGACACCAGCCCCCACACTGTCAAAAATCCGTGTATAACTTTTTACCCTCAAAACACTAAGAGTCTCCTTCAGACAGAAACCTTGCAGATAACCACAGTTGATTAACAAGTATTTTGTATATGTTGTATGTATTATATGCCATATTTTTACTATAAAGTAAGCTAGAGAAAAGAAAACATCATTAAGAAAATCATAAAGAAGAGAAAATACATTTGCAGGACTGTCCTGTATTCATGGAAAAAATACATACAAGTGGACATGTGCAGCTCAAACCCTTGTTGTTCAAAGGTCAACTGTACTGAGAAATTAGTCTTTGTTCCCAGTTCCTGGCACAGAGCTTCTGGGACACGAGAAGGGCGGGAGTGAGCAACGCCTCCTTTGTTACCCAGAACAGCCCCCTTTAGACCACACCTGAGTTTACACTACGGATGTAACTCTTGGAGGACCCCTCGACAGCTTTGGGATGGGTCCGGTTACCAGGAAGACCAAGCCCCAATTAGGGTTTGGAACTTTCGGCCCCACTTCTACCTCCAGGGAGAGGAGAGGGGCCAGAGACCGAGTTCCGTCACCAGCAGCCAATGATTCCATCAATCGTGCGATGCAGCGGAATCTCCATTCAAATCGCTAACTGGGTTTGGAGAGCTCGCAGGTTGGTAGACGCATCCAGGTGTCAGGAGGGTGGTGTGCCCAAGGGGCCATGGATCTCCACACCCCTCCCCCTCCTGTAATACCATGCGCTGTGTGTCTCTTTCATCTGGCTGTTCCTGAGTTGTATCCTTTATGATAAGCTGGTGATTTACTATGTGAACTCTTTTCCTGGGTTCTGTAAGTTGATCCAGCTAATTATCAATCCTGAGAGGGATCATGGGAGCCCCAAATGTGTACACAGCCAAGCAGAAATGTGGGTAGTCCAGGGACTCCGTTTGTGGCTGGTGTCCAAAGTGGGGAACAGTGTCACTTGTCAGCTCTGATGCTAATTCTGGCGAGTCAGAAGTGAACTGACTAGTCGGACACCCAGTGGGCATTGGAGATTTGGAGAATTGGTGTAAAAAACACAGCTGTTTGATGTCAGGGGAGGAGGCGGGGGGAAGACTCGCTTCCTCTTCTGCAACCAGCCAGAGAAAACCCTCTGCTTAAAAGCACCCGTGGAAATTAGGCTTGGCCCATGTAGAACATCTCCCTGTTTTCAGGTCAACTGATTAGCAACCTTGACTGCATCTACAAAATCCTTTAATCCCATTCTCGGGGAAGTGACCCCAGAGGGTGGAGGTCAGGGGGCCATGGTGGAATCCCACATTCTGCATGGGAGGAGCAGAATCGGGGGGGTGGGGGGAGACCTGCTGGAGATGGCAGCTTCTAAGAAGCCACGGAGGGGCAGGGCACATGGCAGCCTCATCATCAGCTGGGCTTCCAGGTGAGATGCTCAGTGGTCAGCGGCTTGTCCCGGATCAGGATGGTGGGCGGTGGCACCGGGTATTCTGGGTCCTCCTGAGAGAGGTACCAATATAAAGCTGCTCAGCTCGGAGAGGATTTTGTGGGGCTGTCCTGCTCCCCAACAGAGAGAAACTCTTCCTGGGACCTTGGCTGATTCACAGCCTGACACCATTCGCCCCTCTGCTGGAACAAGAGTCTCTGTGGCAAGAACTCGGCAGGAGTCTGTGCCGAAGACTGTGCCCCACACAGTAACCACCAGCTGAATGAAGGAGGGAATGAGGCAATGAATCAGCAGCCTGCCTCCCACCCCTGAGCCTGGCAGCCAAGGGCCATGCCTTCCTCCCCACCAGGAGGTGGATGAGCGGCAGCCCCTCCCAGGTTCTGCTCACACGGCTCTAAAGGTCTTTGCTGCCTGCCGGCCTGAACCGTGCAGCCCTGAGGTGCCTCCAGCAGCTTCCAGCAGCCACCTCCTCCCAGAATCCAGACCCCTGCAAGTAGTCCTGGCCCCTCGCTGATGCCGCTGGCCACACCTGCCTCTACTTGGAAGAGAGATCTTCGGGAGACCTTCATACATACCTCTCCTTAGCAAGAGAAGTGAAATTATCTGCCAATCGTTTCCTAGAAGACACACAAGGAAAGCTGGAGCTAGACTAGGACATAGGGCTGCTTACAAAGACCAAGTGTAACTTTGCCCTCAAACAGGAATTGAAGGCATGCCACAGTCCCCCCAGAGAGACTCGGGTTCCCCGGGTGGGATCACGCCCCTCCCCATCCCTCCCCCCGTTAAGCCAAAGTCTCTCCACATTGGCTGGGGAGGAATCATTCTCTTTGACCTTTGGGGGGAATGCAGCCAAATGAAAAGGACAGGAGCTTAGAAGACCCAACATCTAAGCTCAAGAACTTTGAAAAAAGCAAAAACAAAACACGTTCCCTGAGCTGACCCACAGTGTCACTTGGTTTGCCAACATCCTTGCTTTTCTCCTGAAAATTTCTTTTTATCGCCTTTTTCCCAAATGGCTCTTTGTAAGCACCAAGTGCAACACTCACTGTGCTCGTGCTGCTAACAGTTTCATAGAAAGTATAACCCCCAGGGCTGCAGGCTGTCAACATACACGAGCCTCAGGGATGCATTCAGCCTCCCGCCCATCCTACCAGGGAAAGAACGGAGGCCGCGGCTCCTGGTGTGGACAAGGGTCGCCTGCCATAAAGAGGAGTCCGACTCACCCCCACCGTTTGGGGCGAGCACAGCTTTGCTTTAGGCCTGCAAAGAGCTGACATCCAGCTGCGCTGGAGAGAGAGGCCTTCCAAGTAAGGAAGGTGCCCTGACGGGATCCCCTGCTTCGGAGTGCATCCCGCAGCGCAAAGAGACCCCAGCCCCCAAGGTCACTGAGGGACATGGGGGCATCCAACAGGCCACTTAAAACTTTAAGGAATGTACAGCACTACCTTATGAAAGTAGCCTCCCTTGCGAAGTCAGCATAAGCTGGGACCTGGATGGGGGTCCCAGTAGATCAAGCATTGAGTCCCGGAACCAGACGGCTGCGTCTTAAATCCACCGGTCCACTTCGAGCTCCATGATCTGTAGCAAATGCCTTCATTAACCTTTGAGTATTATTGTCATTAACACTCATCCAGCACTTTCTAGACACAGGGCATGGTGTCCAACAATCTGTATGGATCACCTCAACATGTGTGTGATAATTAGCTTATCTCTGCATTGCCACTGAGGGCTGTTGGAAGTATGAAGGCAATAATGTGTTTGTAAGCACTGTGCACTTTATTACCTGTCCTCTGGAGTATTTTATTTTAATAGCACAAAATCCCATTCATCAAAAAAAAAAAAGGAAAGAAAGAAAGAAAGGAAGGAAGAAGCGCAGCATGTTTGGGGTTGGCACTGTGTCCAAGCGTGCATTTTTTTGCCGGCAAATTCTCCTAGCCCCTGGGGTTCCAACAGGTACCCTTGCTGTAGGTTCTAATCCAAGAAAGCCACATTTCTTAGGAGCTGCTGGCTTAATGTTCTGCAGCGGTTAGTCGGCCAGCCGTAGGGTCTGCCTGCCTGCCCTGCCCTGTGTTCTGCTAAATGTATTCATCGAAGGCTACATTCTAAAGTCATTATGCCGCATTTGTGTTTGCTAAAGCGTGCTGTGGCAGATGGGCATTTGCCAGGATGCAGACTGCACGCCCACCCCTCAGGACACCACCCCAACAGGGAGAAGTCAGTGCTCTGAGAAGCAAGTAGGTAAAATATTGATGAAACTGGGGCACAAACACAGCTGAACTCTTTCCTTGGGCCTCCGTCTAATCAAGGGGGGAAGTGTCTTGGAGAGTTGATATATGAGAAACAGGATGCTTTCATTCTGGGAAGAATAATTTAGCTCCTACAGTCCTGTTTTCCTGTGAATGCTTCCAGGATTTGGAAAGAATTTAAAAAGTGGAGCCCAACAGGGTGAATCAGCCACCTGGGACTGCTAGGAAATCAGCAGAATTTTCTTGCTAGAAAAACAACACAGCACCCCGCCTTTGCCCAGAAGGCTCCCTGGCCTGCCGGGCAGCCTGCTCACGGCGTGCCAGCCCCGTGCGCCTTTCCCTGGCTGGACAGGGTTCCGGTCAAGCACAGAGGCGCAGTCCAGACATCCCGGCCTCATAAAAAAGATTGATTCACTCAGGACACTTCCCCCTGGATGGTTCTCAAAGCCAAGTCTTTGTGGGAAAGATTTCAATTCTTCCGCTCCCGTAAGTCTGTAAATGGGGTCGTGAGCAGCGGCGGCCGGCAGAACTCGGCGGTGGGCAGAGGGCCCTCAGAAGAGCAGGTAGCGGATGCTGACTGCGCTCACAGTCGCTCACCCCGTTCCTGTGGACGCCGTCTTCCCATTGTTGCTCAGATGTTTGAAGTTCTATCACAGCTATGACAAATGATGACTCATACTTAAATGCAGTCATCATGTCATACACGGTATTAATACCGTGGTGACACTGCCGTAAGCCCCATGCCTTTAAGAGGAAAAGGCTCCTGAGAGCATTCTGCCGCCACCATCCTCAGGGACCACAAAGGGCGGCGGCTGCAGAAGGCCTGCTCATTGTGCGGGGAGGGCACCGCCTACATCCTGCAAGCTGTTGCGATAAGCGGCTGTCGGAAGGGAGGGGGCTGCGGGGGGCAGGGGGGGAGGGGAAGGAGAGGCCGCTGTTACCAGGCTGGAGGACCAGCCTTGACCTGCTGCACTGATGGCTTATCTCAAGTATGCTCCTGTCTTGCAGGTTTAAAAATCTCCCTAAAAAAAAAGAGAGAAACGGGAGCAGGGCTCAAGTTCTGCGTCCCCGCCCCCACTCCCAGCGCCCCGGGAGCCCGTCACTCAGCCCCACAGGAAGACAGCGTAGGTGCCATCCGGTCCCCGTCCGGGGGCTTCAACAATCACGGGACCCCTGCAAACCACCTCCCCCTCGACGGGGACCCCTACCCTCAATAAAGAGAATAAGTCTGTTTCAGTACGTTTATTGTAAAAAAAAAGAGTCAACGCTGCAGCCGTATGATCCTTTAGAACCCGAGCATCGCCCCGTCCGCTTTGAGACAGCGGCGCAGGCTGCTCAGTCCCTCCGAGCTCCTTCAACTGTCCGAGTCCAGGCCTCGCCCGCCTGGCCTCTCCCCTCCTTCCTGTCGAGAGCGCAGGCTGCTGAGTCACGCCTGCCCTGCCGCCCGTCCTTCTCGGCCCCGTGGCCCACGGCCCGCCTCCGGCCGTCCCGGGCAAGCAGCCGCTCCCCACACTCGCAGAGTCCCAGGCTGGGGGCCAGCCCGCCCCTGCCGCCGCCGCGGCCGCCGGGCCCCTCCTGCGGGGGCCGCCCCTCCTCGCTGCTCCCCACGCAGCACGCCGGGCCCGCGCCCTCCGAGGGCGCATCCACAGAGCCAGCCGCGCGCTAGGCGCCCCGGGGCGTCACCATGTCGATCAGACCAGGGCCCCCCCCGGGCTGTCACTCGGGGAGGGTGATGCTGGGCACCCAGTCGTTGATGCTGCGGCTCTCCTCGCAGAACACGCTGAGCTTCTCCAAGGCGGGGTCCTTCCACGCGTCCTCGTTGGGGTTCTGCGGGGAAAGCGCAGGGGTCAGCCTGGCGGGCCCGGGCCGCTGGCCGCGGCGGGGCGACGCTGGGGCGGGGGCGACACTCACCGAAATGAGGATGCAGTGCAGGTCCCCCGGCGCGGCCGCCTCGTCGCCGGCGCCCACGATCGCCGCCAGCCGCTGCACGTCGCCCACGCGCACGATGTCTATGTCGTTCTCGCAGCAGAACGCCTGGATCAGCGTAAAGTGGATCTGCAGCGCGATGTCGCCCTCGTCCTCCGCGTCGGCGGCCAGCACGCAGAAGGTCACGTTGTCGGGGTCCCTGCGCCGGCGGGCACGGGGTGGTGAGGGCAAGGTGGGAGCCCCGGGGGACCCCGCCGCCGTCTCGCGGGGCTCCCCGCCCCGGCCGCCCCGCCCGGGGCCGTGTCCACACTCACACATTCAGGACTTTGGCGGACTCGTAGACGCCGGCGGTGAGGCAGCCCTGGCGCTGCGCGGACAGCAGCAGCTCGTGCAACGCCTTCCCGGCGCCCTGCATCCTGCGGACGAGCCAGCGCGGTGAGCGGGGACCGGCCGAAGGCGCGGCGGATCCCCAGCCCCGAGGACACAGCCCGGGCGCCCCTGCCCGGCGCCCCGCCCCCGGGGACGCACCGCACCGCCGGGGCCCAGCTCCCGCCCCGCGGCTCCCCGTCCCGGCGGGCCCCGAAGGCGGCCGCCCGAGCCGCTGCAGCCCGGACGGGGACAGGCTCCCCACGCCCCGAGGCGCCCGGCGCCCGGCGCCGACCCACCTGGCGGTGCTTTCGGGAACCGTGTCCTGGCCGCGGACTTCCTCCAGAGTCATGGCTCGGGGGGCGAGCCGCTAGCTACCCACGAGCGGAGCGAGCGGCGCGGACGCGGCGAGCGCGGAAGCCGAGGCAGCCCGGCGAGCGCACGGCTGGCGAGTGCGCCCCGGCGCGCCGCGCGCCCTAATATAGGCCCGGCCGCGGCGCCGCCAGCTGGCGCGAGGCTGCGCGCCCATTGGCCGGCGCCCGCTTTCTGATGCAAATGAGGCGGCCGCCGCGGCTCGTGCCAGAAGGCCACGTGGGGAGGGGCGCGGGGGATGACAATGCCCCAAATCTGCCGCTTTTGTCGGGGTGTTACCAGGCAGACTGGAGCCTGCAGATTTCGCTCGCCTTTTTGTTTTTTACGTCCTTAAAAGGAAAAATTAAAAAAAAGCACAAAGCACCTTGCTTGCTAATAGGACGCTGCAATTTCTGAAATGCCCCTTTGGGGAAACTGAAGATTTTTTTTTTTTTTTGCATTTATTTTTGTTGCTACTTTTCTATTTTTTTCTTTACTTTTAATTGGAAGTTTATAAAACTGTTGCTTTTAAGCCGGAACTTAAAAACACCCAGCGCGGGCTTTAAGCTTGCAAAAGGCCTGGCCACTGCCCGCCCCTTCCAGCGCCCGCAGGATCCGCAGCGCGCCGGCGAGGCCTCCCCGCACGCTCGGCGCCCCGACCCCGCCGCGCTGGAGGGTCCGGGCCGACCTCCCCGCCCGCAGCCGAGCGCCGCGGGGCGCTGGGACGCGCGAGCAGATTGCGGCCGGCGCACGCGGCTCGTTTGCATCTCTATGGAGCGCGCACAATAGCGGAGGTCTGGCGTGTGGCGGTTTGCAGGAGGGACAATCGAGGCTTTCTCTTCATAGCGACACTGTCCACCTGCCGCAGGGTGGGGTGGGTGGGGCCCCGCCGCGCGTGGGGGTCGGGCCACGTGCCGCTCCTGCTCCCCTCGGCGCTCATCCGCTGCACGGTGCCCCTGCACCCGCGGCCCGTTTGAATGTAATTCCGTCCTCCCTCCCCACCCCCACCCGGGTCCTTTCACCGGCGGCACAGTCTGCGCGCTGCGCGAGACCAGGGGGCTCTTGTCCCCCGGAGCTTGAGAACGCGGCTCGGAGTCCCTTTCCTGGGGCGCCATCTACAGGCTGTCTAGAAAACCTCGGGACACCCCCGCCCCCACTTGCACTGGCGTCTAGGGTGCCAGCCCCGGGCCCTGCGGCCACCGAGAGGCCCTGGCGGGTCCGCTGAGCCCCATCTCGGCTGCGCGCTCATGGCAGCCAGAGGAAGGGCTGCGTAAACCTACCCGGGAGGAGGTGAGGACAAAAGGAGACTCCGACCCAGCGCTGATGGAGGCAGAGCCCGCATTTCTTACGCTCTTTTGAAATGTTCGAATTACCTAAATATACATATGTACAAGTCGTTTTCCAGTTATAGCATAATAAAACTAGAAGATGTGAACAGACAGTGCTGTGATGTCAGCATTTTGGCACCACCCCGTAAGCCAGCGCGTCCAGATCATTTGCCCACGGAGAGCATCACTTTGGGTGTCTGCATCTCTCCGTGCTGCT